AAAAAAAAAAAAAAACAAAAAAACAAAAAAAGTTAGCAGGGCATGGTGCCATACATGACTATAATGCACGCCTGTTGTCACCTGCATGACTACCCTTGTATTCCCAGACACCCAAGAGGCTCAGGTGACAACTTCACAAATTAAATTAAATTGATGACACCTTCACAAATTTACCTAGCTGCCTCATTTTTGAATGTGCTATGCCAAAATAAAAATTAAAAATGGTGGTGGGGTCATTACCCCAGAGCAAGAAAGCATAACTGTGAACTCTTCTTTTTGGGGTCCCAGGAGGAGGATCCTGTGCTGACTGTCATCACCTACATGGGGCTGAGCCTGTCTCTGCTGTGCCTCCTCCTGGCAGCCCTCACCTTCCTGCTGTGCAAAGCCATCCAGAACACCAGCACCTCGCTGCATCTGCAGCTCTCGCTCTGCCTCCTCCTGGCCCACCTCCTCTTCCTCGTGGCAATTGATCGAACCGAACATGAGGTATTGACAGCGGTGTTCCAGGGGGCTCCCTTCCTTGACGCAGAGGATGCTGGCTCATGGAATGATGTGGCATTGGATTCCTTAATATAATGGCCCAGCGGAGCGCGGTGGTTCACGCCTGTAATCCCAATACTTTGGGAGACCGAGGGGGGTGGATCACCTGAGGTCAGGAGTTCTAGACCAGCCTGACCAGCATGGAGAAAACCCATCTCTACTAAAAATACAAAATTAGCCAGGCGTGGTGGCAGGCGCCTGTAATCCCAGCTACTCAGGAGGCTGAGGCAAGAGAACCGCTTGAACCCAGGAGGTGGAGGTTGTGGTGAGCCGAGATCGCACCATTGCACGCCAGCCTGGGCAGCAAAAGTGAAATTCCGTCTCAAAAAAAAAAATATATATATATATACACACACACACGTGTATATATGTGTGTGTGTATATATTTTTTATATGTGTGTATACATATACACATATATGTGTATATATACACGTATGTGTATATATGCATACATATATACATATGTGTATATGTGTGTGTATACACACATATGTGTATATGTATGTGTGTATACACATATGTATATGTGTGTGTGTATGCATATATGTGTGTGTGTATATACGTGTATCTATGTGTGTGTGTGTGTGTGTATGTGTATATCTATATAGGCCCTTGAGTCCTGGGGAATATTAGAAGAGAACATCACCAATTTCCCATTGCCTGACTCAACTACAAAGCAAATATTCTCTACAATGCCATCAAATATCTCAGAATTCTCCCCAACGGCATGGTACATGAGAAGCCATGGGTCACACTCAAATCTGACCGCCGCTCTGGGCGTCTCTTACTTCTCCCCCAGGTGCTGTGCGCCATCATCGCCGGTGCCTTGCATTATCTCTACCTGGCCGCCTTCACCTGGATGCTGCTGGAGGCCCTGTACCTCTTCCTCACTGCACGGAACCTGATGGTGGTCAACTACTCGAGCATCAACAGATTCACGAAGAAGCTCATGTTCCCTGTGGGCTATGGAGTCCCAGCTGTGATAGTGGCCATTTCTGCAGCCTCCAGGCCTCACCTTTATGGAACACCTTCCCGGTTAGTGCAAATTCCCACAGTCCTTATCTTCTCCGGCATAACCGTGGCCGTTGCTAGAACCTAGATAGCATTTTTATGATACCTGCTTTTAATTAGATCAGTAGGGATTTTAGGCTCTGTTGGTTGGATTACACTGCAGCTCCTCGTTCTTAGCTATTGAGTTTATTTCAATTACATTTCAAACTAGGCATTGTAGAAGAGGGTTTTCGGAAATTTTCTGAATGAAATAAAGGGCAAGTCTTTGGAAAGCATAAAGAGGACAAAGACACTGTGTCATAATCCCCAGGGCATCTTTCTGCTAGAAGATTATAATAATTAAGGAGGGTCAGGCTCAGTGGCTCACGCCTGGAATCCCTGTGCTTTGGGAGGCTGACACAGGAGGATCACTTGAGCCCAGGATCTTGAGACCAGCCTGGGCAACACAGCAAGACCCCTTCTTTACAAAATTTAAAAAATTAGCAGGGCATACTGGCACACACCTGTAGTCCTAGCTACTCAGGAGGCTGAGATGGGAGGGTCGCTTGAGCCCAGGAGTTCGAGGTGGCAGCGAGCTATGATTACACCACTGCACTCCAGCCTGAGCAAGAGAGAGAGACCATATCTCTAAAAGATACTAATAATAGTTAGGGATAATGTATTTAAATCTCTTTCATTGAAATAGCAAGAATGAAACCAAAGTGCTCATGATAGCATTTGTTTAATATCTAACCTACTTTATCCAGATCTTTTAGGATGCTTCAATTTTTCATTTGAAAAAGTAGACCTGATTTGAATAACCCAAATAATTGATATTGTCATAGTTAAGATTTACGAGATGCTCACTTTGTGCCAGGTACTTTTCTAGCTTGTTTGTTTGTTTGTTTGTTTGTTTGTTTGTTTGTTTGCCAGTTGCACTGGTTGAACCCTCCAGGACACTGTTGACTAGAACAGCAGA